AGTGTGGGATCACTTGAAACTTGGCAGTTTTTCACACTGGCATTCCCTTCTCTGGAGGATTCGGCCACATGACACAATTTCCTCTGCCTACAGTGGTTTCTGGTCTAATCTTTCCTAACATAAGGAGTCCACCTCCTGTAAACTGAAAACTTCCTTTCTAAGGCTATTCTTAAATCTCCCACTGCGGGAAGTGGGCACAACAACAGCACTTCCCTCATAAAAATGTGAGGGTTAAATCCTAGTGAGGGAGGGAAGAGGAGACCGAAGATGGGAGTCGTAATTCTTTCTGCTGACAGTCAAAGCTGACAAGGCATCTAAGAACTGGAGCTCTTTAATTAATTTCCTTCAAGTGTTAAAACGTGACTTCACTCATATTTTAAAATTATCTTAAAGTATTGCTAAAAATAAGGGAAATGGCACCAGGAAAAGATTCTAAGACTTTCCAGACCCACTAGTGCATAAATTATTTAGCTGAAGGCCAAGTACAGTCAGAGAGCCTGGAGAAAATCCCTCTGTATTACTGGTTTATCTCGTGTTCGGTAGGTTAAGCAAAGAGACAGCCCAGGCGCCCAGCAAGAGAAACGTGAAATAAATTATTCTAATTTTGCCTAGAGAGCATATAACTTGTTTTGTGTTTGTTTGTTTTTGTTTTTCTCCATGTTTTGAAGCACAGTTAAGTATAAAGGCATGAGCTGATTGGGACAACAGCATGAAAAATCCTAACATGGCAAGGCTATGCTCACAGCTGTGCCTCAACGTGGTTCTATGCACTAGTTTCTTTGCATCTTGTGACAGTAAGATAAAACTCACTCATTAAAACCAATCGACCAGCAAGGTAAACGTATTTTCTCATTTTACTATGAAGCTACTGAAACATTAACTCACAGGCCCACCTACGTGGCACCACACAGATCTTGCATGTCTACAGTGTAGCACAAAGTACTTTCCTGGTGACAAAGCAGAGGCAATGCATGCTGATAGCTGCCCACGATTCCTAGAAAGTGTTAGGAGTGGCCTCACAAATACAGTTTTAGTCACAACTAGAATCATTTGAAGACAACCATGTATTTTGATTTAATGTTAGCTCCAGGTCCTGACCAGTCACTGTCCTCATCCTCTCCAACACAGGGCAGAGTTCTCTGATGACTGAACAAGCTCACCAAGGGCAGAGTTGTAGAGCAAAAGGAGTCTGGAATTTGTCAGCCCTGGTGTCGTATGGCCACACTTCTTCATGGGTTTGTTGCCTGCTCTCCTCTCCTTGAGACTTTCTCCTCCCTTGATATATTTCCCTTTCCTATCCTGTCCATTTCATCTCATCTCCTTTGCTGACTTCCCTTCTTCCTTCAAAGTTCTGTCTCAGTTTACCTTCCCTTTGCCTCTCCCCATAGTCTCTCTGGGACTTATTCGTCTGATAACTTTCACCATCACCTTTGCACAGATGATGCCCAAATCTGTAACAACAGCCTTGTCCTAAACATTAAGCTGCTATTTCCAACTGCCTTCTGGAATCTATTTCACACCATCTTCAAACTGAACATACCCAAACTCTCTCTCTCTGTCCCCACCCCAGCTCTGCTTTTCTTCCCTATTTCTTAACACAGTCATTGGCGCCATCCACCATGTAAACTTTGTGTGCAAAAAAGAGTTGACATAGCAGGCCTGAGACTGCTATCCTTAGACAGTCTTGCTTACAAGGCTGGCCCTTGGCTGGCATCTGGAGACTTGGCTAGCAAACAGCTCCCTATACTGATATTAAACTTCTCCCTAAATGATAAGAATGGTTCACTGTGCCTAAACTGTTTGTACAAACAATGTGGTTTATGCTGAATGCCTGTTTTCCTTCTGGAAGTCTGGTATTTTGGTAAATGCTAGGCAGAGGGTGCCGATGTGACCCTCCCGATTAGAAGCCTGGATGAGTCTCTAATGAGCTTCCCCATAGACAACACTTCACAACGTTGTCACAGCTCGTTGCTAGAGGAAGTAGGCTCGTCCTGTGTGAGTTCCCTGGGAGAGGACTCTTGGAAGCTTGCACCTGGTTTCCTGCATCTTCCCTCCATCTCCCTTTCCCTTTGCTAATTTTGCTGTATATCCTTTCGCTGTAATCTTAGCCACGAAAATATCCGTTGATGAGCCTAGTGAGTCCCTCTAGCAAATCACTGAAACCAGGGCTGGTCTTGGGTACCCCCGACACATCTTAGTGTAATTCCTAACCCTCCTTTCTTTTCCTCACCCTCCGTGTTCAGTTAATCACCAATTGTTATTAGCTCTACCTCTAAATATATAAAAAAAGATGTCCCATATTCTCCACCCTCACCACCTTGATGCTACAACTGTGATTCCATGTGAGCCCCACTGTCCCCCGTTATCTCCCACTAAAAAATGCAAAACCCAAAGACTGAAGGACAGCACCAAGCTGACGCTATGAGGGAGGGTATCGCTCAAAGCCAGTTTCATCAGCTGTAGAGTGGGGTGATAATAGTGCCTATTTCCTAGGGTTGTGGAAGTCAATGAGAAAATGCATACCAACTTTATGAGAGTACATATGTGAAGTGCTTAGCACGTAACAGTCCTTCGGCAAATGTTAGCCACTGTTCTATTGTTATCACTAATAATCTGCAGCCTCCACCTGGTCACTACCTGTGAGGCTCAGCCAGTTCTAGCACCAAAACCACTTTTTTTATGAAATTAGGACCTCAGCTTCTCACCGCTATAATCTGTAGTGCAGGCCCACCCTGAAACGCAGGCATCTCCATCGATTCCAAGTAGCCTGGCATTTGGGGTGCTCTTTTCCTCTGACTCCCTGCCCCAGCGTGGAGGTAATGATGAGGCACAGCTTTCTCGCGGTTGCAGAGGGAGCAGGGGAGGAGGCCAGAAGGGCCAGGAGTCTCCAGATTCCTGATGTGATCACCGCAAATATTTGTTTCCTAAATATTTGTTGTGCAAAACCACCAGTTATTTCAAAAGAAAAAGCCACTGCAGAGAAGTGAAGAGCCAGGAGCATTATACACAATAAAAACAGAAATTAAGACGTTCTCACACACACACCAAAGATCAATATGTGAGGTGGTGGGTGTATTAAGTAACCAGATGTGAGGAATCCTTTCGCAATGCCTACGTATATCAAATCATCACAATGTACAATTATGAGTTTCTATCTTCAGTATCATCCATGATTATCACAGGAATTTTTGTCTGAATGAAAACCCTTTTGGGATCATTACGAGAGTTCTCCACAGTAGAAATAATGAAATCATAGGTCCATAGGTAACATAAAGCTTAAAGATCCAGTCAGGATTCCAAATATCAATGTATTTATCAACAAAGCTGAATTATTCACTCTAAAATTCCATGCTATTAAAAATCACGTAGAGGGCCAGCCTGGTGGCGTAGTGGTTGGGTTCATGCTCTCTGCTCTCTGGCGGTCCAGGGTTCACAGGTTTGGATCCCGGGCATGGACTTACGCACCACTTGTCAAGCCATGCTGAGGCAGGCGTCCCGCATAAAGTGGAGGAAGATGGGCACGGATGTTGGCCCAGGGCCAGTCTTCCTCAGCAAAAAGAGGAGGATTGGCAACAGGTGTTAGCTCAAGGCTAATTTTCCTCACCAAAAAAACCCCCCAAAAAACCACATAGAAGTAACTTCTGATTAAAAATGAACTGAAAAAGCAGCAAAGGCAAATTAGGTAGCATATTAACTTTATTTGGAATTATAACACAGAATATGACATCAAACAAATAGATATAATGAAAAACTTTTGTGGTTCAATTAAGCAAACAGTTTGCATAGGAATTTCTAGTTCTAAGTCTTAGGATACAGAGCTGATCAAATCGTAAATTAGATTAACACAAAATAAGAATTATCCATCTGTGTGCAAAATAAATACAATTTAACTTTAATAACAGACCTTTTCTTCAGTCTTTGGTGAGTGATTAATATAATCATCTTCCCCGCTACAGATATCATAATCTCATCTAGACCAAATGTGATCCTTTTAAGCCAGAGACCTCTTACCTACAATAAGGAGGCTCCATTAAATATTGTTAAAGCTACTGGATTCATTTTTATGGCCCTAATACCAATCAAGAGCATTATCCACTTAAAATGACCTAATGAATAGGCCAAGGACAACATGTTTTGGTGAAAAACATTAAGTTTGTGATTTCATCCCATTTTGTCTTTTGTCTTTGTTATCAGTACCCATAATATTGTTTTGATTTATGTCAGTGATGAGCAACCATTTTTGGCCTAAGGGCTAAGGGAAGAAAATGTAAAGCATTTAAGGCCACATTATTTTCATTCACAAAATGAATATAGTGTTATGAAATTCCCACAGGGGAAAATGTGTATTTGTACAACTTTGTTAAATAAAAGAAAAGTCAATGAGGAAACTGGCATGCTTTTTTGCTACTAAGATATTTATATCTCGGTGTTTTAGCGATACAGAGCTTTCTAATTTTTTATCCTGAAATTAAATTGCAGACTTGTGCATAGCTAGTCAGGCTGTAGGTATCTCAGGGGGCTCTGTGGGTTGCTCATTACTGGCTTTGCTTGTGATATTGATTAAAATAAGCTGATTTTTGTTGACATTGTTTCATTGATCATAATAAACTTTAAGAGAATATCTTCTAATTTCAAAATTATATTCCATTGTTTACTGACGTAAAGACAATGCTTTTAGTACTACTGTAAGTTGGTTAAAGAAAAAATTGGGGGATTACATTTCCCTCCGTCTTAATATGTCTTTACATAAAACACTGGCTGCAAACCAGAGCAGAACATAAACAGGAAAACTAAAGATGTGTTTAAATAACAGAAATACCGCCACTGTTTATTATGGTAGATTACAAAAAGAAGGTTTAATTTGTGTGTGTGCAATTAGGCACTGCCTGAGGCATTTAGACACCATTGATTATAAAGTGCATTCGAAGGACTAATTCAATAAAATTCAGGTTTCTTTCTCAGAATCAATCAGCTCAAGAACATGCATAGGTAAACACTTATTAAATACTAATAACAGTCTTTTGTTACTTATACTCCCGCAATAGTAACAGCAACATATCATATTTGCATATATCACATGTTATCCAAAGACATCAAAGTCATTGTAGCCAGCAATGTGGTACTGGAAGCTAAAGGTTCCACAGCACATTAAGTCTACTTTCTTATGGCATGGATAATAGATTCCTAACAATAGAACCAAAATAAAAGCTCAAAGAGACAAGCCTAAATATCCTGTGGTTTGTAATTTTCTGAATTTCCCAATTTGCCACTTGTATGCTACCATACCTACAATATTGACTCTAGGTAAAAATGATTTTTACATGTTAGGAAAAAGATGAGGGTCAACTCACGAATGAACAATTTGTCTTTTTTATAGTTCAACAGTCCATCTTTGAAAAGCACGTGGTGGAATGTCAGAAGTGGCTTTTTAATAATGTAACTTTATACATCACTGATTCATAATAATCATGGCTATAGTCCTTCGGTAGAAGAAAACATTTTATACTGGAATGACATACATATATATATATAAAATATGATGGAGCCATATCTTTTAGCACACTTACATTTAACATAAAAGTAAAAGTGCATCGAGTCATTGAAGGTCAGACTTTCAGTCTTTCTGCCTCCTTGCTTAAACCTCTTAAAGAGTTTACCAACTAGAGTTTAACTGAGAGACCCAAGTTAGTGTAGTTTAAAACGAGTTTCTGTGGAATCCAGGAATCCGCCAGGCCCACTGGAGTGGGGTTACAGCCAGCGTGAGAGGCCCACGTAAGTGAGGGGAGGGGTCCCTGAGCTGTTCTGTTCTTGGCTCAGTGCACAGAGCACGGCTCTTCCCGTTCAGGGACCCAGGGTGGGCATTCGGGACATTTTCTTTCTTAAAAGAATTTCCAACACTATTTGAAAAGCAATTTCTTTTTGGGCAACGTGGTTACGGTTTCTATGTTTCAGTCAAATACGGAACTAAGTTAGCTCTTCCTGCGTCCTTCTTTACTTCGGAGGAGACGCAATATATGTTCATTTTTGGTTAGTTCTGCCGGAAGTTCATTGGCCTGAAAGAAAACGAGATAGGCATTAGTGAATTCCATGGTTGGTGTGTTTTAGGGACTCAAAAGAGCCTCTGACCCAAACTTGCTCCTCCAATGGAGAAAAACTCCACTGGACTCACTCTTTGTATTAAGGCATTAAAGGTCTCCTTTAATTAGTTGTATAAATATTACCTGTTATTTTCCCACCTCATTGTTAGGGTTTTTTCTATCTAGCCATATCCCTTACTCGACCGTAATCTCCAGGAGGCCAGGGTCCATGTCTTATTAATCATTGTATCCTCATTTCCAGCACAACACCAGCATATCTCGTAGGTGCTCAATAAATACTGGGAACACTAAATTTTTGTGTGTGTGTGTGTGTGTGTGAGGAGATAAGCCCTGTGTTAACATCTGCCAATCCTCCTCTTTTTGCTGAGGAAGACTAGCCCTGGGCTAACATCTGTGCCCATCTTTCTCTACTTTATATGGGACGCCGCCACAGCATGGCCTGTCAAGCGGTGCGTCGGTGCGTGCCCGAGATCCGAACCCAGGCTGCCAGCAGCGGAGCATGCGCACTTAACGGCTACACCACGGGGCTGGCCCCCTGGGAACATTAAATTTGATACTTTACATTTAATTAGTTTTTTATATGAGGCAGTCTGTCTGCTAGGGACTTAAGACTCAGGACTGGTATCTTTTGATAAGAAGGCCGAGTTAGGAAACATCCAGAGCACACGAGATACCTGGGAAAGAGCAGCCGTAGCGGCCTCCACTTCCCAGCTGACTCAGTCTCACTGTTTGTCCTTCCTCTTCATATGCTGCTGTGACACACTCTTTACACATTTATTTAGTGAGCCAGTCTCTACCACATGCAATAGATGTTATGGGCAGTGGTTCCCAAACTTTTTGGTCTCAGGACATTTTTACACTCTTAAAAATTACTGAGGACCCCAATGAGTTTTTGTTTTTTACTTATTAGAAATGAAAACTGAGAACAAATTTAAAATACATTTATTAATTCATTAAAAACAATAAACCTATCTAGGTTTAAACTAGAGGTTAACATAAATACCATATTTATGAGAAATAAACACATTTTCAAAAACAAAAAAGTTAGTGAGAAGAGTAGCATTTTTAACAGTTTTGCATATCTCTTTAATACATAGCTTAATAGAAGACAATTGATTCTCATATTTGCTTCTGCATCCAATCTACTGTGATATGTTGTTTTGGTTGAAGCGTAGGAAGAAAACACAGCTTCACACCAACAGGTAGTTGGAAAAGGGAGGAGCATTTTAACAGCCTTTTCAGATCATTGTAGATATTCTTCTCTGATGATACACCAAGACAGGACAAGTGGTAGCTTCTTAAAGGTTAACTGCAATGTGGAATTTGCAACCATATCAATGAACTTTTTGTCCTCTGTTACATCAAAATGCATAGGTCTATTTATCTGCAGGTGGGTTTTTTACCTATGCATGATTTGTAACATCATGCACTGGTCGTTTAGAAGATATCAGTTCACTGAGTTATGCAGATCTTCCAGATGTTGACACATTTCATTACATAATATCAAAAGATCACATTCATTAATATTACCACTGATTCATCAGAAAAGCCTTTAAGTTCTGGGAAGCTGTCAGGCTCATGTGGTGGTTACAAGTCGTTCTTTCAAGTAAAAACGGTGTTCCATGAAAATAGTGGCTGGTTCACTTTACAAGTTAAACAGCTGCTTATGTGCTTTTCTTGGAGACGCCCAGTGCAGCTCAGGGCACAGCAGCTCAGGGCACAGCATGAGTGCTTCAGGCGTACTTCTCATTTTGTCACACAGAATATTAAAAAGAGGTACAGGGGCCGGCCCAGTGGTGCAGGCAGTTAAGTGTTCGCGCTCCGCTGCGGCGGCCCGGGGTTCGCCGGTCTGTCAGATCCTGGGCGTGCACCGACGCACTGCTCGGCAAGCCATGCTGTGTTGGCGTCCCATATAAAGTGGAGGAAGATGGGCACAGATGTTAGCTCAGGGCCAGTCTTCCTCAGCAAAAAAAGAGGAGGATTGGCAGATGTTAGCACAGGGCTGATCTCCTCACACACAAAAAAAGGTACAGCAAGGGTCAAGATTTAATAAAATTAAAATTGTTTACTGCTTCATCAAAGCTGCTCTTAAGTAAAACTGGTATTTTTGTAAAATAACTTACAAAGGTTTGTAAATCATGTGCCAGAACAGTTTGGTGCCCCTGCTTTGTTGTGTGCTGAGGGGTGAAAAGTTTCAGCCACCACAGCTTTTGCACCATTAGAGCAAATGTCAGCACAGTGAAAAAGGCCAATAACGTCTTTGTGTTATTAAGAATATTGTTTTGACCTCTTACAGCCCCTGAAGGGTCTTGAGGACCCTCAGGGGTCCAGGGACCACACTTTGAGAACTGTTGTTATAGATGAATTGAAAGGATGTTCTTGGAATTTCAGGGGAGGCAGTGAAAGCGTAGAAAGGCACCCAGAATGGGGGAGAGCTTGGATGTAGATGTTACTTGTCTCACATATTTTTCTCTCCTATAGCCACACCTGGACCCCGAGCTGCTTTACCTGGGACCCTGATCCTAGGTGAAGCTCTGCAGTCCCCACCTTCTAGGCTAGATCCAGCTCCCTGACCCCCACCTGCGGGCTGGGACCTCACTTGTTGGGGACTATGCAAGGGCTTGTTGGGAATTATGAGTCAGCCACAAGTGGTCTGCTGGGTAGCATACCCTGTAGCTGCACTCCAGCCCACGCCAAGGACCCTTGATGCTGATGCTGGACTGAATCAGACAGGAATTGTCATGCTATGCTACTATAGACCAGAGTCCCCTCCATGGGGTCAAATTCTACTATCAGTTCCTGCAGGAACAGACATTGTACAGGCCTAACACCTGAGCCTGCAGAGAAATGCTTCTGGCAAACAGACCTAAGGTCCATCCACTCTCAGAGTACACTCAGGAATAACTGAGTTGTTTTGCACTGGTTATTGGTCCTTAGTAAGCAGGCTGGCAGGTAGCCAGAGGGTCCTCTGGAAGTCAGGCAGAAGGGATCTAAGAAGTTGTACCTCTGTCTACAAGCTTGCTGACTTATAGCTGCCTTATGTGACCATCTCCACGAATGTCCATATCTTTTACCATTAAAATAAGCTTTATACCCTCAAACTGTGTTGCCAAGTTTTGGTCAACCACATCACTGTTCTCTGTCATCCAGATAGTTCTAAAAACCTGGTCTCATTCCTCCTCTCCCGATTGGTCTCACTGAATCCTCAGGTTGCTGAGGTCATGAGGACTGTTGTGATGGCTAGTGCCCCCAGCTGGCCCCTAAAGGCATCTGATTCATTATGAAGCAGGACCATAGGTCCATATTCATGATACCACAGCATCCAACCACTAGATCTCCCCCTTGTTCCTGGGAGACAGAAGATGTGTTCTGAGTCCTCAGTTGAGGGTATCGGGAACATGGTTCCTGCACCCTGGGGATGGCTATTGCGTGGGGATGGCTACTGGGGTCATGGGTTACCTTCTCCTCAGGCATCTGCCTCAAAGGCCGCGAGCAGAAGTGCTGGAAGCCCTGGAGCAGAAAAGTGCTCTTGTACTGGCTTAGAAGTCACTCTCCAGGAAGCCTGCAATAGCACCCTTTACTACCCTGCTGATAGCTCTTGTTACCCTGGACTGCGACTGCTTATTTCATTGTCTTTATTCCCCAGTAAACGCTGAGCTCCAAAAAGGTAGAGACTGTGAATCTCATTCACCATGTGTCCCCAGCACATAGCACGGTGCACGGTATCTAGTAGGCACAGACTCAGTGTTTGCTGAATGAATGAATGAAGGCCAAGAATACTCCCTCAAGAGTCTGGGTGGTTGCTGGAATCTGAACACTCTTGCTTCTGGAGCTGCCTTTAAAGAGGTTCCTTTATGGGGTGGCTGGTGGGCGGGGGTGGCTTCCCCGGCAGCTACTCCTAGGTCTCTAAGAGCTTCTGCAGTATGAAAGTCCAACATGAACAGCCCACACATATATTCAAGTAGCTTTAGGAAGGGTCCAAAGTCCAGCACTGTGGTCACAGGAAATTCCCCATAACCTTTATTGCAGAGATTCCAGGAGACACACAAGGAATTGCATTTTCCAGTTTCTATATAAAGGTACTAACGCTTCCCCCTTGCCTTAACTCAGGACTGGATGGCTTAGCAACAAAGACTGATCTCTTTAGGAAGTCTGTGTCCAAGGTCCGAAGACAACAGAGCAATTGTGATTTCAGCTGGCTTATCACATGGCCAGGCCAGCTAATGGAAACAAATTCAAACATCTCAGAAGAGACAGGAGAAATGCTGTCTTCAAGCAGTTCTACAGCAGGAATGGGGAAATAATAATTCCACGTGCTAAGTGGAATGAAAAAAAGAGACTCTTGGCATGTAGTTTAACTGCACTTCTTAACGACTTCTTTTCAAAATGTCATAAAATACTATATATTTTTGTTTTTACTATTTAAAAATTTAACACAGTAATAGACACTTACAAAAATTCAAATAGTAGATAAGTATAAAATAAAAATTGCTTTTCATACCTTCCCCTATTAATAAGCACCATTCCTATTTCTTCAGAAGTTAGTAGTTCAGGGGCCGGCCTGGTGGCGCAAGTGGTTAAGTGCACACGTTCCGCTGCGGTGGCCCGGGGTTCACCGGTTCAGAGCCCGGGCGTGCACCGACCCACCGCTTGGCAAGCCATGCTGTGGCGGCGTCCCATATAAAGTGGAGGAAGATGGGCACAGATGTTAGCCCAGGGCCAGTCTCCCTCAGCAAAAGAAGAGGAGGATTGGCAGATGTTAGCACAGGGCTGATCTTCCTCACAAAAAATAAATAAATAAATAAAATAAAAGTTAGTAGTTCAGAGTGTTTTCTGAGGACCTCTCCTAGGCTACTCTCCGGCCCTCACTCTCTATGTCTGGCTGCTTATGCAGATATTGAATAGGAGGAAATACAATCACAATCATTTTTGTCTATGGTTACTGTGCATCCTCCCACCTCCAAGTTTGACCTAACTCTAAACTAAGGATTTTGAGCTATAAAAAACACGAGTTGGTTTTGTGACAGTGGCCTGAAGTCCTGATAGCAGTATAAGAGAGACATTTTCTCCATGCAGTCACCAAATAGAGCACAAGCAATTCTCCACATACGAACATCCAACTCTGGGAGGATGGCGATAACTACCAGAACTTTGACATTTTTAGGACACCTCTTTGATGATGGGACACTCAGAACCCTACTCCCTACAACTACTGCCCCCTCACCCCCTGCTCCTGGAGGCTGCACCATTGTTAGCTGAAAACTACTGGTGATATCAGGTTTTTGGTATAATTCTCTGGGTCCAAATGTACTGCTCACTCATAACCTACTAACGACAACCTTGCATGTCCTTATGATGCCAAAGTATGAAGACAGTTACTGGAGCCTGAGAGATGTTATCTCAGCTTAGAAAGACACTGCTTTATCTCTTTGCATAGGCACCCAAGGGAGTTAAAAGATGGGTAAGGTAAGGCTGGTACCTTGTTTCTCAGGGCTGGGTCCGCCCCTGCTTCCAGGAGCAGCGTGACTGTCTTAATATTCCCGCTGAGCACTGCTGCATGGAGCGCCGATGTCCCATTCTAGAAGAAAATGACAGTGTATGTCAGGCGTGAGCTCACAGCCATCAGCACTCAGCTGACTGGCCTTCATCACGAATGAGCCTGAGTGATGAGACTGTAGTGTCAGAGCCTTACTCCTCCTTATACTCCCTTTTCAAAGTCACATCAGCATCTAATCTAGCATCCTCAGGCACACAGCAGACGGTCAGTATAAATAGTGCCAATGTTCTTTTGCAAGTGAAACAAGGAGTCTGGCCCAGGGCGCACGTGACTTCATGATCACTCACTCACTCAGTTTTATATACATTAGAACTTGCTGTGGAAAAAATAACAATGCTGGGTGAAATTTTTTTCTTCAAGGACAACATATATAGTCTTTGTGCTTTTGGTGAGCCACTTCCAGCAAGGTTGGAGGAATGACTGGCTAGCCAACGGGCTGCCCTGTCAGCCCCACTACACACACTCTGCTCACTCAGGTGGGGAGGAGATCGACTGGAGTTACAGGGCATAAGAGGAAGAGTGGGTGCAGGGAGGAAACCCCCCGGAGTCCTGAGCTGGAGCACTTCTGAGCTCAAAGGGCCTAGTGGATAGGGTGCTGACATTTTATGAAATCGACTGCAAATATTTATTGAAATAAGAAAGCAGCTACATGCAGCATGTAGCTGGATTCTGGGAGAAGAGAGGAAGAAAATATGACAAACCTAATATAAGAATGAGGGGCAGTCATACGACAGTCATATGACATCTGTTCCAGCAGGGACATATGTCTGTGAAAAGTACCTAAATGCAAGCCTAGTTTCCAAATTAACTACTTATAATAAACTTATTAAGAAAAAACACTTTCTTATTTTGTAAAAGAGTAAAATTTCATACCCAGAGAAAAATTTCAGCAAAGTAGCATTTTTCCATGTTTGTTTTATAATAATGGCAATTCACTAATCTGGTAACATTTCACTTACCTACATCTTAACCAACCTATCAACTTCCCCTATTTACAACATGGCTAAGAATCAAAAACCAAACCAAAAAAGAGCTGTTTGAAACGAGACTAGATATCGGCAAAGTCCATTTCTGAAGCTCATTTCTTTTATTCATCAAGAGTTCACTTTCAGGGCCGGCTCCGTGGCTTAGCGGTTAAGTGCGCGCACTCTGATGCTGGCGGCCCGGGTTCGGATCCCGGGCGCGCCCCAAGGCACCACTTCTCCGTCCAGCGCGAGGCCGAGTCCGAGTCCCACGTACAGCAACTAGAAGGATGTGAACCTATGACATACAACTATCTGCTGGGGCTTTGGGGGGAAAAAATGAATAAATAAAATCTTAAAAAAAAAAAAAAGAGTTCACTTTCAAAGCCTGTTTATTCTTACTTTACAAACAATTTTAACAAGTGCAGCTTTCTGGCTCCCAAGCTCATGGGAGATTAGAAGCAGCTCGCTGGACAGGGGGGAGGGGCCCGCACACTGACAACAGCAGCTCTGTACCAGCTGACAGCAAGAATGGGGCCTAAAAATATAAAGATCGGATACAAAGTGTCCAGAAGCCTCTGGACGTGGTTCACGGGCAAGTAGACTTTATACACATCAATAAACCCTGAGGGCACATCCCAAAAAGCACTAACCCACTGTTCCAACTTTAGAACAGGTTTGGTGTCCTCTATTTAAGAAAACAGGAGGGTATTCCAGGGGTCAGCAAACTACAGCCTGTGGGCCAAACCCAACTTGCCGCCTGTTTTTCTATATCCCAGTAAGCTAAGACTTAAAAAAATTAAAAGAAGAAGAATATTTTGTGACGTGAAAAAAATGAAATTCCAGAAATACAATACCCATAAAGTTTTATTGGAATGCAGCCACATTTTTTTGTTTTGTTTTGTATTTTCTAAGGCTGCTTTCTCGCTACAATGGCAGAGTTGAGCATTTGCCACAGAGATTGTATGGTCCACAACACCTAAAACATTTACTACCTGGCCCTCTACTAAAAAGGATTGCCAATCCCTGGTATATACTCTAGTTTACAAATATTTTAATCCAGAATGATTAAAACTTAAAAAAGAGTTTTGGGGTTCTGTTTTCTGGAAGTTCCAGCTCTCCAGAATGACACATCCTCTGAGGTGTCCAGATGTGTGAGGCTTATTTTATCTCACCCAGGGTAACAATGTGGTTCTTTGCTCCACATAATGAAGAGAAGGAACATGACCACTGTCCCTCATGTCTTGTGGAACACAAATCATTGTGGAGGATTTCACAAATCCTCCAATGATATATCAATATGGTTGATTTTCCAAATTTATCAATTTCATGACTACTGTCTAATTTTTTTTTTCTGGAAATCTAGGTACTGACAGACTCTGGTTCATTCTTTTTACCATCTTCTCATTTCTACCAGTGCCCCAGGATCTCCAACATTAAGAAGTTGTACATATGTTCTTTTAAGAATACAATTAACCAGGCAAATTATATCCAGATTCTACTGCAGTCCCCAAATACGGACTTCTCATTTACTAACTTCTCTCATTTACAGATTGGTAAAATTTCTAGGTCTTACCTTCAAAATACCCAGGGTGGGTGAGAATTTCAGCAACTCTTTTATAACATTATTATACCCTTTGTTGGCTGCTTTCAGTAGCGCTGTTGTGCCATCCTTCACAGAGAGAGGAAAAGAAAAGTCGATATTAACAGATGTGTGTGTTGGCTGAGAACTAAATGTTAGCTGAGAACTGGGAATATGCTTGTCAGAAACAGGCAAAATATAGAAACTGAAGCACAGACCTGCAATGTCTTTTAATCTAGAAGCACTTCAGAGCATATCAAGCAATTAATTCTGCATGAAAAAATACCAGGCAAAATATGTGACATTCTATTATCTCAGAACTCTGACATTTGGGAATTCATACTCTTCCAAGTCCGGTAGAACACTACATCAGGGACAAGGGGAATTTCAAGAACATATTTTTAGGACAGAAGTGGACCAAAGAGGCATTCTCTGCAGTTCATGACTTGGAAATTAACTGTTGGACTGTTTTTAATGATTTAGATTATTGTTGAGCTATATTTACTGTTTTAACATTTTAAACGTGCTTTTGTTTTTGCCTTCTCTTGTATACACCTGGCTCTAGTCTGCCCGAGGGGTCTATTTGCCTGTGGTAGTGGTGGTGGGGGGAGGGGAGGAAGGGAATGGATTGAAATCTGTTAAAAAGGAATGCAAAGACAAGCTCAAAAATTAAAGTTCAGCTTTTGTCATCATTTTTTGGCCTAAGAAAAGATTTTCTGAATTCCTTTTTCTCCTGCTTTAACATATAAACTGCTGTATTGGGAGGATTTGGCTCACAGAGTTCTCCTGTAGTAAAGGAAATAGCCCAGCCTACGCTAAAAGTTTAGATAGAATCAGGAGGAAAGAAGATGAGAATAGAGGATTTTTCTTTCCTGCCGTAAGAGATTGCGGGAAGAAGAAAAAGAGAGTGGGAAGGAGGCCAGTGAAGCGGTCAGGAGCGTGTCTTCTGATTTTCCCTTTCTGGGCTCAGACTCGGAGGGGGAGGTGAGTCACATAAGCAGGAGTAATACTAAGGGCAAGGAGGCTAGACCCTGAAAAACAAACAAACAAAAGCGAATAGCACAGTGCGGTCAGGCAGCAGGGTCTCCCCAGGCCGCCCGTAGTTCCTACGCGGCATAGGCCTGCTGTGGACCCACCGAGGCAGACTGGGGTGACACCAGCAGAGGCTAACGGAGGCCGATGGGGCATGCGGTGCGGGGTCTGCAGCTCGGGGAGCCAGGCGGAGGCGCAGCGCCAGGCGGACCCGCCGCCGGTAGGGACACACTCCCAAGGTCAGCCTGGGGCCGGGTCTCCTACCTCCCCCTTCCTCCCGGCTTCATCCAGAAGTCAGCTCAGCTGGAAGAGGATCTCCGAAGAATTAAACATTTTTTCCTTAGAGAGACTGAGCAGTATTTGCTAAGTTTCAACTGATTCAGACACTTACTTTGTTTTCCTGCTAAAGCGCAGGTGGAGAAAACCCAGGTGAGTCATAGACAGAATAGAGTCGCGTTTTCCTTGCACATGTAAGCTGAGTTAAATTTCGGAGCTTCAGTGCCTGTATTTTCCACCCGAGACCCCACGTTGCGCAGCTGTAGCTCAAACTCACGTTCCGGGCGGCGTCGCGGTCGGCCCCGCGCAGCAGCATCACCCGCACCACCTCGCTGTGGCCCATCTGAGAGGCGATCCAGAGCGGCGCCGTGCCGTCCTGCGGGAGACGACACGCTTGGGCCCCGCAGATCACACGTCCACGTGACAGCCAGTCAGCGCCCGGGAGAACTCCCCGGCGACAGATGGGGAGGGCGATTTTTTTTTTCTTTTTAATTGTGAAATTTTTGTTGTACGTTATTGTTTATCAGTCACCATATAGGTGCATCCCTCCAACCCTTGTGCCCACCCTCCACCCCCCTAGCCCCTGGTAACCACCAAACAGTTCTATCTGTCCCTGTGTTGGTTTATCTTCCACATATGGGTGAAATCGTGGACTGTCTTTCTCTTTCTGGCTTATTTCACTTAACATGATACCTGGGGATGGTGATTTTGACTCATTTACTTAGACTGGCATTTGACAATTTGCCGGACTACTAATTGGAGCTGGGTTGGGTAAGCTAGGGGTGGTAGAAACACCCAGATAAATTATGGGGAATTCCAGATGGGGAAGGATTTTCTCCTGTTCTTGGGATGGAACCTAGGAAAACTGCAAGCCCCTTAGAGAAGCTCTGCTCTTGGCTGGTGCCTGAGAGGTAGAAGAGAAATGCCAGTGGGAGTTGTTTGGGCCAATGGACCTGAGACATGCCCCCAATACTCCTCATCCACATCCACTAACAGTCGGAGCACCCAGGAGTCCCTGCATGCTTCTGGGAAATCAGAAATGCTGGGTAAACAGTGGCCTGGAGTAAGCCTGAGGTTGGGAAGATAAGGCCACAGAATGTCAAGAACACAGATGATGGCAGGGCCAGCATATGGCGGGACCAGCTGCATCCTCAGGGTACCAATGTAGGATGCTGGACAAGCCAGCACAAGGAGCAGACATGAGCATCCCCACCCCCACCCTAATGCCAGGGAGACAGTCTGACCTCTGAGAACTTAGGTCACTCTGGAGAGAAGGGCAGGAGAAAGGAGGAGGATTCAGAACTGACTGAATTTAACCTCTCAGGTAATTAAGGTAATATAGCCCCAAGAGACTGTTTTAGTCAGGTAAGACTGAATTACTCATCTGTGGGAATGAGGACTGAAGAGCAAGATGATTCAGTTGTAGAATATTAAGTTTCATTTTCTATTGTAGTATATCATTTCAACTCCTGTCTACTAGCCACTGGAGCCAGGATTATTGCCCATTGCTGTCCCAGCAAAGGACATAGGACAAAGACATTTGAGTGGGTGGTGGATAATGGCAAATCAGGAGCCTAGAAGGATCTGGGGGCGCTGAGGGGTGGTAGGAGGACATTGGCAGCTCTGTGTCTTGGGAAAGATATGGAGAAGAGGTTCTGAAACAAAGGATGGAAGACACCTTGACCTACTTCATACTTTTACAAGGGCCTCTCAGAAATATTCTTGCATCTGAATATTATATATCATTAGCAATATAAATAATACCTTAATTTGTACTTTTAGTTTACAAAGCACTCTACATTCATCATTTAATTTGATTCTCCCAATTCAGGATTTAACCAATCATTCATTCATTCAACCACCCAACAGTTACTAAGCATCTTCTAAGTCTCAAGCAGAGTACTAAAGACATGGTCTCTGTTCTCAAGGAAACTCAGTCTAGTGGAGAGGAGACATGGAAATTTCAGTATGATTGCAGTGCTATGATAAAGCACAGACAAAAGTGCCTAAGATGAACCAGGAGAGGGGCCCTCTTACAGCCAGGGGGTACCGGGGTCAGCCTCAAAGATGGGGCTGTATCTGAGCTGGGTCCCGAAGGAGGACTAGGATTTTGCCAGGTGGGAGAGGGGAAAGGGCATTCCATGTAGAAGGAAGACTATTTATAGTCACAGGGGCTTGAAAAGTCATGGCTGGTTCAGGCAGCGTGGGAAATCCAGCCGGCTGCAGGGTGTGGGTGGGCCCGGGGAGGCAGGAGAGGGAATCTTGGCCCCACAAAGGGTTTTTGGCAGGGGGGGGGGGGCTCAGGTGTGATGCACTTCTCCCTCCTTGCCTGCTCTGGGTTCCTTCATTCTTTGTCGATATCGCCACAAGAGGGCAGGCAAGGAAAGGCAGCCAGCAACCTGTTCAATGTGCTTTCCAAGAGCTTGGCTGTTTTAGTGAAATTCTATTAATTAACACTAATCTGTGGAAAAGTGCTGAGAGGTGCTATATTGGGAATGACTATTAATATCATAACAGTAATGCTAACATTTAAATTTTATCACATTAATTACAATAGTCATGGTAGGTAGAAAAAGAAGTCACCACTTCCTGGTTGTGAGACTTTATGCAAATCACTCTGAGCCTCAGTGTCCCCTCCTGCAAAAAGAGTAGTCTCACAGAGATATTCGTGAACAAGAAAACATACAGAAAGGTGCTGAGCACAAGGACTGGCTAACAGATGCTTAGAAAATGGTAACTGAATCTGAATATTATTTATCATGAAACACAGTAAGTACCTTAATTTATATTTTTGATTACACAGCACTTCCATATGCTTTATTTAATTTGATTCTCCCAGTTGTCCTGTGAGACAACTGCCTGATGGAGCAGGCAGGAACAATTGGTAAAATGAGATTTGCAGAACACCTGTGTATTTTGTTACTGGCAATTACTTCTCCAAATCTGATTTTTGAACCCAAGGAGTTGAATGTGAATTAGAGCATTATTGTCAAATCAAATTATCAGTTGATGATCTAGTTTGTGAATAGGAGAGGTTTTCCTCATCCTCTGTACACCTCAATTTCTGTTTTCTCTTATTTTTTCCTTCTCTTATAATGGACAGAATCTTCATTGTGAAGATGACTTCATAATAAAAATGATGGAAATTAAGTCAATTTAGCTCCTTTTTGTAAAGTTATGGAGAGAACTGGAGTAGGAAAAAACATATTTTAAAATATTTATATAAGTTTTCAAATACTTCTTGTCAAAAATTTATAGTTTTAAAGTATATTAAATGGAACAAATCACCATCAAGTGGAAGTTACAACCTCTACAGCACTTAAAAAAAAAAAAAGGAAATAGAACATTTTAGCTTGAAGAAGATAAGATTCACAGGGTTAGGACAGCAGTCATTTACTATTTGTGGGCATACCAAGTAGAAAAGGATTTGGACTTATTTTGCATACTAAGTGATGAAAAGAACACTGATGAGTGAAAGCTACACAGAGACTTTGGCTCAATGTAAGAAAGAAATGATAATGAGAGCTGGTTAAAGACCAAATAAGCTGATGAGGTGGTAATGAATTCCCCATGCCTGGAGGGGTTCAACTGTGGGTGATGACCACTCCGCAGGATCGTTAGAGAAAAGATTCAAGTACCTGATGGATGGTTAAATAGGTGACTTTTTCAGTTCTTTCCAACTCTGTTATTCTCTCATTCCATTAGAGGTAATATTTTCAAGTATCCTCTAATACATTTTTAACGACAGATCACAGCATGAGCTGGAGTATACGACATGACTTATATCAGAGACTGAATCTTATTTGGTCTTACTTAGGCTCCTAAGGATTATTTAGAAAAAAGAACTAGAACCATTCTTTTCATGGGAATGGGTACAGTAAGTGACACTAGCTCTCTGCTTCTACTGCCTTCTAGTCCTTACACTTAGGCTACTTCACCTGCAGGCTCAAGCCAGACGAAAGTCTTGGGGTCCAATCCTAGTCTACGTTGGGGGCCCACGAGATATAGGGAACCTCGGCAGTAGCAGAGGGGGGTCAATATGGAGACAACATTGCTACCAGCCCTACCCTGTCCTGGAGCCATTCCTCATCACTGTGTCCCTGCTCGGTGTCCCCGTCCAGCAAATGGGTCTGTAAAACATGTTACCAGATGTCTGCACTGCCTACAGCCTGACCCCATTCTCCCCAGCCACAGGTAATCAGACCAGGGATGGGGAGGCCAGCCAGTCCACTGTGGCCTGGTGCACACAGATGAGCTGCAACAATGACATGGCTACCCCAAGAGTCTGACCTGTAAACTCGGGGACCACATGCAAGATAAGAAAGCAGAGGAAGCTGGCCAAAAAAGGAGTGGGGAGAGAAGAGTACAACCTTGCTTTCTGATGGGTTTTCTGTTCCAATGAGGCCTGGATGGTATAGAAATGATGACAGCAATACCGAACATTTACTAAACACTTGGTGTATATCAGCCACTGCATTAAGAGTTCTGTAGGGATATTTTATTTAATTCTCACAATACTCCTATAACAAAGATATTATTGTCCTGGTTTTACAGATGAAAAAGATAAGATTCAGGGAGAATAAGCAACTTGCTCAAGATCATGCAGTTAATAAGCAAAACTGGGACTGTGTTTCATTTCCTTAAGATATCCATATCCCTGTAACTACCAAGCGGCTCCCCCCACCCCCACCCCAGAAGACCTGGGTCTGGCTCCCTAGCTGGCTCTTACAGGCTTCCAGGGACTGGCGTCCTGCCCATGAGCCTGGGCCCCACATCTGAGCCTTGTTCTAGTTCCCCGTCATCCATCACTGTGGCTGCAGCCTCCCAGACCTCACTGGCACTCCGCCCAAGCCACAGGGTGTCCTCTGGCAGTCAGCACACCTTTTCTGAATGCCTACCATGTACAGAGGGAATGCAAGCAGTAGGGCCTCCCTATCGCTGTCTGCTCCCATCTCCAAGCCCTCAGGATACTGTGCCAATCAGTTGGCTCTACTTTCTCCCATTGCCCACCACTGAGTGCACCCCTCCAAGCTTGCAACGTGAGAGAACTGTGACTCTCTGGGTCCCAGCGACCCTGCGTACAAGTCCAAACCAGGGCTTCTGTTCGAGAAGGCACTTGACGAGATGGCCTTTCTGTCAGCCTTCAAAGAAATACTGACGAGCACATTCAGGGGACTAGACAGAGATGAGAGATGACAGGCCAACCTCAGTGCTGGGTGAACAGAGTCACAGCTGTGCCACTCTACAGAAGCATTGTTTTAACAAGGTGGGTGAGTGGAGTTGGGAAAAGTATAGGTCAAAGTATTTTGTTGATAGAAAAACAGACTAAATAGCCATCTCAGCTAATGATAAAAAAGGGTTGACTCATATCGGCTCTACTTGGTGAGGACACATAAAAAGAACTGAAAATGAGTTTTAAGATTGACTATGGGGGCTGGCCCGGTGGTGTAGTGGTTAAGTTCACATGCTCTGCTTCAGTGGCTCAGGGTTCTCCGGTTCGGATCCCAGGCACAGACATACCTGCACGGCTCATTAAGCCATGCTGTGGCAGCGTCCCATATACAAAATGGAGGAAGATGGGCACAGATGTTAGTTCAGAGCTAATCTTCCTCAGCAAAAAGAGGAGGATTGGCAATGGAAGTTAGCTCAGAGCCAGTCTTCCTCACAAAAAAAAGGCTGACTGTGAATTATAATTATCTTGTGACTCTTGACCTCTTTATCTAGGACAACTGAGAAGGGAAATATCTTCAAGTTTCAAATTAAGAACTTAGTCTTTTCAACGTCTGCCTATGGCTTGCTGTGTGATTATGATTCCTTCTCACAAAAGTACTAAAAAAGGTTTTTGGTTAGTTTATCAGTGAAGGAGTTACAATGAAAAGTCATTCCCACTATCCCCTTTCAGATTCCCTATAGCTCAGACCAAAAGTCTGCTGAATAATTTCAATGCAACTTCGTTAACATCCTGTCACAGTGTCCCATAAAATGTCAGGACTCCATAGAATGGCAATGCAAAAATGATAAATCAGATTTATCTAAAAAAAGTTAAGAAATTAAGGCAGGCAAATATCCTTGTCCTTATTTTGTAAATTCAAGAATTTTCCTACAATGACAATAAGATTTCAGAATAAAACATTAGTTTCCAAGTGCCCTACCTATATAATATTCTCAAGTAAAGGCCTTTTTTTTTTTTTTTTGTGAGGAAGATCAGCCCCGAGCTAACATCCATGCCAATCCTCCCCCATTTTTTTTGCTCTGGAAGACTGGCCCTGGGCTAACATCCGTGCCCATCCTCCTCCACTTCACATGGGACGCCGCCACAGCACGGCCCAACAAGCAGTGCGTCAGTACGCACCCGGGATCCGAACCTGGGCCACCAGCAGCGTAGCGTGCGTACCCAACCGCTACGCCACAGGGCCAGCCTCAAGTAAAGGCCATTTTAACTAGACTTTTTTTTTTTAACCTCCTCATAACTTGTGACAAAGTCAGCCGGGACTGATACCATTTTTGCCCTATTTATGACACTACTTGTTTTCTTGGGACGGAATTAAACAGGCAGAGTTTACCCTTTGAGAGATGATGGAGCTTAGACTAGTCTGACCTAGCTAAACAACCTTTTATTTATAAGCTCATGGCAGGTAGTAAAAACATTATGGTTTGAGGATAGTGTACTAAGAGGTTAGTGTACTCTATAAAAAGAAAAAACTCCATCGCTTTTTTTCCCCCAAAGCCAATTCTTGTTTTATAAAACACCCTGTTCCTGAATAACAATCTTTTTAGAGCTGGACTCTCACAGTTCCAAGCCATCGCATTAGATGCAGTCTTTGGAAGGGCATGTCACCTGCTCCTTGACCCGAGGGCGGGGTCCCCCCACTCCCAGACCAGGTCATCCACTGTGCCCAGGTTGTCCTCACTTCTGAGGAATGAGGAACAGCTGTGGTTACCACGGCACTGCTGGTTCACTCTTTGATGGCTTGGCTTCAGTGTCATCCCATGACTCAATTTAGGTTTAAATGGATACAATCCAGGCAACATTTGAAAAAAAATCCATTATATCAAGTTGCTTCTTTACAAACAGTACCTTAGGCATATGAATAATACAATTTATTTGACAAATAGATTTGTCAAAGTACCAGAAATTATTTCAGAAAGACTTGATAATCTTGATAATCTCTCATTTCTAAATTCACGGTGATACCCTCAATAATGGCCTCCAAATCAAACTTATGTGATTTAAAGATTTTATTTATTTATTTTTCCCCCAAAGCCCCAGTACATAGTTGTCTGTCATAGCTGCACATCCTTCTAGTTGCTGTATGTGGGATGCGGCCTCAGCATGGCCGGAGAAGTGGTGCGCCGGTGCGCACCCGGGATCCGAACCCGGGCCGCCGGCAGCGGAGAGCACGCACTTAACCGCTAAGCCACGGGGCCGGCCCCCAAACTTATGTGATTTAAAACAACCAATTCTTTTTCTTAATTTTGGTAAAATGAAGGGTCTGATTCAGAATCAATCAACAACTTCAAAATAAGAGGGACCAACAAGATAATGTTAAACTCCAATCCCTAAATGTCAACTCTGGCAGGTATGGAAGTGCAACTTTTTCTAAAAGCTTCCTTTCTCAAGAGTATTCCTGGGGCCATCTAAACCTAAGAATATCTTTAAAAGTCTAAAAATATAATCTCAGCTTCCTAGCAGTGTCTGGCACATACTAAGTACTCAAGAAATACTGAATGAACGCTGAATAAAACAATTATCAAAAATTTGGGAGCTTAAAGAGATCATCAAGATCATCCTGCCCAGACTCCCAATTTTCAGATGAAGGAAGAGAGGTCCAGAGATTCACTTGTTCGACACCACACAGCTAATTATTGGCAGAGCTGGATCTAGAACTCAGGATTACTGACCTCAAACCCACTGTGCCCAAAGGCTCTTTCTGTTCTTAGGTTCTTTATGCACTTGGACTTCTAAAGACTGAAGAAGCCTGTGGCCAAGAGCTCAGACCAACCTTAAGGTTCCCATAGCTATTTATTACGTGAACATAAAGGCATTCCCATATCAGGTCACATTACAGTGGGAATCTGCCTGGGTGTAATTACTAGTAAGAAATCAATTTGACTTTTCCCTAGAAAACTACCTTTAAAGTAATGTTACCTTAATCCAAAACGTTTTGTTAAAATCAAACTAATTAGTGCAGAAATAGATCCTATATAAGAGAAGGTAATTATAATGCCTTACATTTGGATGGTTCTTTACCATTTGTAAATGCAGCCTGAATGACCTTGCAGTTCTGTTCCTTTAAGTATCAATTAATTGATTGGCCAGATGTTAGCTTGCTGTTGGTAAATGAAGTCTCAATAGCGTTATAATTGTGAGAGATGAAGGTGCAGAATCTACTACTGATTCCAATGACACAGGCTCCTCTTTGGCTTGGTACAAGAAGCAGGGGGCAAACAGAGAAGCAGAGGGGCTGGGCAGGGGCAAGGCTCCCTGACCCGCCTCTATTTACCTATGGCCCAGCCTAGGTACTCTCCTCTCCTCACCTCTGCGCGGCCATAATTTATTTGAAGAGGAGGTGGCAGAGTGACCTCAGACACCGAACACTCAACCTCTAAAGATAGTAAATGGTGATGTCAGCCTGCCTTCCTAGGCTTTCGAGTGAACCCAAAGCAAAGAATAGGAGAAACCCTAATCAAAGATTAACTTGCATCAGAGGCAAAAGGGTTTCAAGACGCCCAAAGCTAACTGGTTATCTCCGGTAGGTGGCGCGGCAGGACAGCGGCCCTGCCTGCCCACCGCTTCGTGCACGCAGACATTACCTGCCTTGGCTGGTTGACTTTTGCTCCTGAAGACAATAATAATCGAATAACATCCAAGTAACCACCTTGGGCAGCTAGGAAGAGGGCAGTGGCTCCATCCTGAGAGACAGCAAATTGAAAGTGTTAAAAAACTATCTTTTACATTTATTTTAAAAGAAATTAGATTAAATAATACATATATTTAATACACGTTTCCATTTCTGTCTCCTCCCTTTTTTTCACATGCATGGTTAGTGTTTCATTCTTTGAAGAATGGTTCTAAAACATCACACTAAGTCAGTAAGGTGGAAAGGTGAAGTTTAAAATAGACAGTTTTATAAGGATAAGTTATAACATGTGTAGTGACTGTTCGCTCTACAAAATCTTGGTCACAGAGCTTATGATACACAGCTGGCAGTAGCCACCTAGGTTTTCCAAATAGCCCGTCATTATTTTTCTCTTGTCTGCATAGACTTCTTCTCATTAGCTGCCTTCTGCTTTTGTTGCATGATCTCAGAGTCCATCCCCTTTTAAATTAGATTAAAATATATACATTTAATACAATTTTTTATTTCAATCCTTTTGTCAGTTAAGACCTACGTGTTAGTTAAAAAACAAACAAACAAAAGTCTGTTAATAAAAAACAAAAAATAAACAAGTCTCCCAAATCTATTTTGTGTGATTTTATGAATTGGGAGTAAAAAGTGTTCTTGTAATTAGATCTTCCCCGCTCCCTTCTCTTTCTTGCTCCCTTATCCACGTCCCCCCAACATGCAGTTTCTCCAAGGTTTAAAACACAAGATGCTCTCAGAAAAAACTGCCCTAGTAAGAATATCCATGAACTCGCTCCCTGACAGCCCAGCAGACACCAACCACCTATAAACACAACTAAGCAATCTTGCATACAAGCCCAAGCAAGTGCTTGTTTCCAATCTTCTTTAGTTTTCTTTTTAACTGGGTGTCTACATGTTCTGGACATTTCTTTTTTCTTGAAGACATGTTATTGGGTAATTTTAGCAAAAACATCGGTCAGCTGAGAGCATGCATCCTCCCCAGATGCTCACTTCACACAGATACCATTCACAGAACATGGTGAGCCTCATTATTTTTAGACCTCAGTGGAAAACCCAAGCACATCCCAGTGGAAAACACCCAGCTACTCCAGCTAATTCTCACCCCTCCCATCAGGAACACTAACCACAAGTGAAAATACAAAGTACTTTTCTCCGCCAGTCCAACTAAGCGGAGGGCACTGGATTTCCAGTGCGTGTCAGCTGAGCCGCCAGACTCCTCTCAAGGCAATCATTAAAAAATTAATCAGCCTGTACAGATTTTTTAAGTAAATGTTTGACATGGGGGATAAAATTTTCAGCTGCTCCTTACTGTGTAGCTGCAGAAAGTCTACCATGCCCTTATGAGCTGATAACTCTCGGGAATTTTCTAAAACCGATATCCATGCATTAGATTTTTTACTGTGCGTCACAAATTTCTGTTCCTAGAAGTTTTCAGGGATCATTAACCAGGATCCCCCATATTTCAACTGTTTTTTTTTTTTTTTTAAAGATTTTATTTATTTATTTTTCCCCCAAAGCCCCAGTAGATAGCTGTATGTCATAGTTGCACATCCTTCTAGTTGCTGTATGTGGGATAGGGCCATGGGGCCGGAGAAGCGGTGTGTCGGTGCTCGCCGGGGACCCGAACCCGGGCCGCCAGCAGCGGAGCGCGCACACTCAACCGCTAAGCCACGGGGCCGGCCCATCAACTGTTTTTAATGGAAACATTTACATTTGGACTATCTGGGTAAGGGTAAAAGTCAACATAAAACGGAAGTTTTGGTGCATGAAATTTCTTGAGTCACCTTATAACAGAGAGGAATTTACAGTGGGAATGGGCTCTCCCCAAACTCTGTGTTTCTAAGATTACGTGCCACCTGATGGGCCTTCGGAAGAATACTATCTAACAGTGAAAGTCTACCCCCCAGTCAGTTTGGATTGTTGACTACTGAAGGTAATGCTATGAAAATCACAACTCATTTTCTTTTTCCAAAATCTTGGGCTCTTCCTCTTCAGCCTACACATACATATATAATACACAGTCTCAGATATACTTCACCTATATACAACCAAAGAAATAGCCAAAGCTGTAGACTTGTGTTTCTTGGCCAAACGTCAGAACCACCTGTTGCCCAAGTTGCACCCTCAGAGGCTCCAGGTTAGCTGGTCTGTGGTGGGCCGGGGAAGTGGTATTTTTTTCAAGCTCCCTGAGTGATGCCAATGGGCAGCCAGAATTGAGAATCACTCCTTTAGACCATTATCAAGTAATTCAGCCATTCAACTGGGAAGGAATGCCGCAGGCTCAAAGATGTTACAGATTTTGAAGTGCAGAGGGCAAGGCTAGCTGCTATGTACTTCAAAGAGTCTGTGATTTGTCAGAGTTAACCGTATAAACTCTGGAAAAAGTGTTCAAATGGAAAAGTTCACACCTGAACATCTCACTACATGTCTATGAAAATATAGTGCCCCAGGCATAAATGATAACATCTAGTTGTAGGACAGCCTAAAATACGCTTCCTACATAGCTAAAGGTAGGAATTCTTCCACTCCTCACTGTAAGACTCTGTCAAGTCATTTCATCTCCCTATATTTTATTTTTTCCTAGGAAACTGGAGTAACATTCGCCATAAATCCTATGGAATTATGCTGACAATCAATTACAAGAGCCCTAGAGTATTGTGCTAATTGCCAATTAGCTGCACACAGACCCACACTAGCAGTGGATGCCTTTCAAAGGTCAATGACGTGCATGTATTTCACAGGTCTTCATCCACCCAACCTCACTTCTCTTCCAACTAACCTGATTTCTCCTTTTTTTGTGTCCTTCCTTCCAAATAACTCGACAATAGGAGAATTCATTTTGGTTTTCAGCAAGTCCATACACTAGGCTTGTCATGTTATGAATAAGTGTGTATCACATGATTTTTGAAGATCCTAATTGTGTAGGTACATAAAATATCTCATATGTACAAGAGATGTAAAAGGGCAGAACAAAGATGGGTAAATAAGATTATGTGGTTTCTACATTGAAAAAGCTCATCTGGCTAACTGTATCTTTTTTCCTTGATATCTCAGATTCAAGTCCCACTATTCATTAAAATATTTTTGAAGTGGGCATTTCTGGTGTCTGAGTTTAGACAGCACTAGAATGTGTGATGAGGGGATGAGCTAGCGCGCCCTTGAAACACACTCACATAAAGCTGGTCATGGATGTTGGCTCCGTGCTTCAGCAGGGTCTCCACCACCTGCATGTGCCCATACTGACTGGCGGCCAACAGGGCAGTGCCCCCTTCCTGTGGACACACAATGTATGAACACATGAGAAACAGTGCGGGCACGCATTTTACCAAGCAGATGTTCCTCATGCAGCGAGAACTTCAGAAAAGAATTTTCCCATAGATAATAACAAATTCACCTTTCCTCTTTTATTTCTTCCTTTTTGTGTATAATCATGACAGAGTTCATTATTAGGACATCATTATGTTGTATGCTTGGATGACTTGAGACGTATTACAGTTATTTGACTGAGTTATTATGATTAATTTAGAAATTTCCCATGCCAAATGCAGAATCATCTATTTGCCTCTAAGGGAAACTAAGGGAAACAAAGTAAAGAAAGTTCTGTCCTAGTATTACCAGAATAGTCTCCTGTGGCTTCTAGCCAGAGACTCTCTTGATAAATGTTGGCTTCTCCCTGGGGTTTCACCCAGTGGTAGGCCTCTGAGATTAAGGTGCTCTTATAGGGTAACTCTCTGGGGCCACTGCCGTCATTGGACAAGATATGCATCCATTAAAAGAGGAGATAACTATAGCATATTCCATGTGCCTCTCACCATCCTACTTAGTATTTTCCTCTGAACATGTGCCAAGTTGTCTAGATCTCTTTTCAAGTGTGGGCCCTAGAAATAAACAGAGCACTGCAAAGTAGATGTGGTCTGATGTAGCATGGAACACGCCTTTGTTCCATCTAGTCTATTTTTATCTCTGTGGCCTAAATTAGAATTGGCTTTTATGTCAACCACATCACACTCCTGACTCACTGAGTTTCTGGTCAACTGAAACCCTTAATGGTTTTTCTCAGGTGATGCAGCTAAGGCATTATCTGTTCCCATCTAGGATTGTTGTGTTGTTTGTTTGGCTCTGTGAACTGGCATGTGGACATGTGAGCTAACTATAAACAATGCAAGAACATGTGATCTAGTTCTAAAATACAAATCATGAATATAAGATAGTGTGGTTTCTAAATTGGACATAGAGTGTTTATTCAAAATGACTACCCTTGGAGCTCCATCCTCTGAGGGTCTGATTCAGTAGGTCTGGGGTGAGGCCCAGAAATAGGCCTTTTGACCAGTCATGTGAGGTGACTGTGGTGTGCAGGTGGCAGGTGGGCCTCACTTGGAGAAACACTGTTATAAGAGCTACTGTGTTCACAGGCAGGTAAGATCTTGGGGGATGCACAGGGCTAAGTAAGGCCTCAGTGAGGGACAGGCTATGTGGTGGGGAGAGCTGCGTTTTGAAGGGTGGGGAATGAAGGAGAGAGACTGGAGGGCTGAGGCCACTGGTGGGGGGTTGTGTGGGTAGGGTGGGCGGGCATCAAGAAATTGCTTAATAGCAGCAATGAACACCAACGTTTCCAAATTTTGTTCTGTCAATTCTCCTAGCTCTTTGCCTAATGAAACAAGAGAATAGATAAAAATACGATGATTGCCGTAGAAGAGCTGATATCTTTTATTTTTAAAAACACATTTTTTTGGGATATAAAATTAATAACAATGAGAACAACTGTTGACACAAAGTCAGTTTTGATGACAAGATCACATGAAAACTCAAAGCCTCTCAGTATTCCCTTCTTCCCATGGAAAGCTGTTGGACACCTGCAGTCAACCTAATGGAAACATGTGGAATTGCTCACCCTGGGCCCCATGTTCCGTGGAGTTCTGGGATAGTACAAACTGGCTCAGGTACAAGGTATTAAGCTAACATTAACTTGCTAACCAAGACAACTGAAGCAGCCATGATCATTTTGATCACACATGATCATTTTGAGTTAGTTCAAAGAGTTGAGATTTAAGTTTGTAGAACTTTACTTCCTATTTTTAGTTGTATCACTTTTATAATGAAAAATAAAATGATAATTAATATAAAAATATATATCTGGGGCTGGCCCCATGGCCTAGTGGTTAAGTTTGCCACACTCTGCTTCGGTGGCCCGGGTCTGGTTCCCAGGCATGGACCTACACCACTTGTTGGCGGCCGTGCTGTGGCAGCGTCCCACGTACAAAATAGAGGAAGATTGGCACAGATGTTAGCTCAGGGCGAATCTTCCTCAGCAATAAATAAATAAATAAATAAATATATATATCTCCACACACGTACTTTGGATTACTATCTATTATACTCAGCACATGCGGAGGTACGCATGCAGTCCAACAGCAGGTTCAGAAAAGACAGAGACCTCTCTGAAATTCAGATCTACTTAATAGTTAGCATTTTAACAGAAAATAAAAAAACCACCGGAAACTCCCCTGATATCAAAATATCACATACAATGGATTAAGAAAACCTAAAAGTTTCCAACTGGGGGCAGATTTTCAGGAATTTTTTGTTATGATTAGGCCAGAAATAAGTTGACAATTACAAAAATGTTATGGCAGTTCAAATTCTCCTACTCCAAAACATTTTCATGAAAAATTATATTGTGAACACAACATGGATCTTTCTGCACTCTCAGTTTTCTTTTTTTTTTTTAAAGATTTTATTTATTTTATTTTTTCCCCCCAAAGCCCCAGTAGATAGTTGTATGTCATAGCTGCACATCCTTCTAGTTGCTGTATGTGGGACTCGGCCTCAGGATGGACGGAGAAGTGGTGCCTCGATGCACACCCGGGATCCGAACCCGGGCCACCAGCATCGCAGCGCGCGCACTTAACCACCAAGCCACAGGGCCGGCCCTCAGTTTTCTTATCCACATATCAAATATGAAGAATCAGTGACTTCTTTAAAGGAAGAACCACAATTCCTTGCCCAACTATATAAACTATAATTATATATTATATATTTCAGTGAAGACATCTCAGGAAGTAAATGTCTGCCAAATCACGCTCCTTAGAAATCTCTCAGACTCACTAGGATTTGCTTAATACTTCTGACAATTCCTATCACAGCACTGGGATTAACCTTGAAGTGGAAAAAAAACACATGAAAACAGGGAAAGTTGTAAAGCACCTGCTCCGTATCCATCTGATAACGAGATTTAGTGTCCCAGAGGAGAAATCTACCAGCGCAAGAAAGAATCTAAGTAATTCCCCATAAAAGTCTGCAGTTGTGAGCCCAGAGTCAAAATGTAATGTTCTGAACTGAATCCCTAGGTCTACCCCTGAACCAGCAAAAGTAACCTTGTGAAACCCACCTTCTTAGGCTTGAAAATCTTGTAACAAGGGAAACACGAATTCAAACTCTAGATGAAGAGAAATGAATACTCATGACTGCTGAAATTCTTCAACAGGGTATGAAATCAAGAAAGTTCTCTTACTTTGGTTCTAAATTCAGTGGATGCTCCAAATTCAAAGAGAAATCGCACGACGTCATTATGTCCTTGTTGGGCAGCGAAGAACAGGGCGGTTGTACCTGACTGAGAGAGAGAAAGAGGCTGGTTTTAAAAGATGTTTGGTTACATTACATTTGATTTATACATATGCAAACAAAACAAAAGAAAACATTCTTGCATATAAACCTTCTAGCCTAGAAAGGGGCTACATTTGAACTGATTGTGTTCCTTGTTCATAGAAGTGGCAAAACGAAAGGAAAACTTTACTCTTGGTGCAATGGGATGAATGGTGGACACCCAAAAGCTGTGTCTGCATCCTAATTCCCTGACCTTGCGAATATTACCTTAAATGGCAAAAAATGTGATTAAGTTAGGGATTTTTAGAGGAGGTGCTTATCCTGGCCTATCCTGGTGGGCCCTAAATCCAATGACAAGTGTCTTTATAAGAGTGAGGCAGAGGGATATTTGACACAGAGAAGAGGAGGAGGCAATGTGACCACGGAGGCAGAGATTAGAGTGATGGGGCCACAAGTCAAGGAATGCCAACAGCTACCAGAAGCTGCAGGGGGTAAAGCTGGAAGAGCTTCCAGAAGGAGCACCGCCCTGTGGACACCTTGAATTTTCTGGCCTCTAGAATTGTGAAATTATACATTTCTGTTGTTTTAAGTCACCTCGTTTGCAGTAATTTGTTATAGCAGCCACAGGAAACTCATATCCTTGGTATCGTGTTTCATTAACATGGCATTCATTAACATAGGGAAGAATTGTGGCAGAGTTCTGGTTACAAAATTTAGTGCCCCAGAGTAGAAAGCTACCAGTGCAAGAAAGAATCTATTTTCACTCAAATGGGCTCAAAATATTCTCAAAATAGGACATATTAACAAAAAACAGCCTGATTCCAAATTTTAAATTGATCAATGATATTCTGAGACACAATTTTTAGCATCCTTTCTTCCCAGCCATTTTTACAAGCTTACTCAAAGATTGGGACCCAAATCATCGTGTAATATGAGCAAAATCACCATACCACTCTTGTGAGCAATAGGTATTTTTCATATGAAGATGCTCTTCACTCCAGAGCTTTGAGTATGGATGAAGCTAACACTACACTTTCCCAGACACAGTGAAGAGAAAACCCTCTTTCAGTGGCTTACTCGGAAATGTTAATGTGGTAGGTTCTCATCCAGGTGTGAGAGGCCAGGAAGAGCATGTCCTAAGGATTATTGATTACTCTGAAGCTTGTTCTTAAGGGGGTGTGTGTGTGTGTGTGACAGGGAGCAATGAGGTCCACCACTGTGGCAGAACACATGACAACACCCTCCCAGATGTGACCTTCTGTCTCAGGCTGTGCCCCCTACCAGAGTCTGCCCAGAAAGACCCAGGCGATGTGACCATTCCCAGAGCCTTTCCACCTGCAACGCAGGAGTGACTTTCTCCTTGGTTCCCACAGAAACGAGTGGAAGCGTCCTCATTGCTTTCTTACAGTGGAGGATGCTGGGTTCCAGAAAGCTTCCAGAAAGATGTAACCAGGTCTAGATGAAGAAACTTAGCTAGAATAGGAAAACTCTCATCTTCTTAATAGACATTAAATTTCAGAGACTACCAGGGGTCATTTCCAGGAATTGTTTCTTCAGTAAGAGAAAGGATTTGTTTTTCAATAAGCTTTTGAGTCAATTCTGGAACATATACATATGTTCCAAACATATATATATATATACTATTAATCATTGCACACATGAACGCAGCAATCTGTAGACAACAGGAGCTAGATTTCCGTCTGGAATGTGAATAAAGGTCTTACACGCACGTGCTTTACTACCGAAACCCAGGGCTTCACGATAACTGCATGTACAGCTCCTATGCCTGAGGGTTGTACTCAGCCAATATTGCTGGTTCTCTAGAGCAATGGTCTTGCAGGACCGTTAGCTTCCAGTTTGTCTTTCTAGCAAGTTCTGTGTGTCTAGATTGCCAACCTAAGAAAACAATGGCAGGTACTTTTTCAGGAAACAAATATTCTGATATTGTAAAATGGATTAAGAATGAACCAAGGTAGAAGTCTGCTATATGAGCACATTCCACAGCACTGCTAGGCACTCTCGGCTTTCAAAACAGACCAGGTGAGGTTGGGGCCTCTCTTTGGCTTAGCAACTCTATCACCCAAGACTGGCATGGCCTCAGGAAATTCAGGGGACCCCTGGGAAGTTACATAGAATCATCATTTGAACCACAAGGTTACCTCTAAATTGGGCACACTTTGGTAAGTCCTCAAGGGCCACTATGTTCAATGCACAACAGTTTTCATCTCCAAGAACATAAGTTGAGCAATTGGAACCAAACAGATAAATATAAAATCATAAAAACCACACATTGGCTAGAAATCAAACAAATGTTTCTCTTCTTCTCTTAGCTTTTCTCAGTTGTTCTGAAGAGATTTTTGTGCACGTTGAACTTGCCCTTCAGGATAAACATTTTTGAGTAAGCAGATCTGGATCATATTGTTTTTATTAGAGAAAAATCTGTCTTTTCTTTAAAGTTATAATAAACAAAGACTGTAAAGCAGAGAGGAAAAGTAAAAAGATTAGGGTGATTTTAAACTATAATTCTAAATGGGCCCAAACCTTTTTCTCCCAGAAGGAAATTAGCCGCTGAAATGAAAATGACCTAGAACAATGACCTGGTGTTACGGGGAACTGCTCGGAAGAAGCTGTCTGTGAGAAGATTGACTGGATTTGCTGTAGTTTCTCTATATTGCTCCTCTCAACAGACCAGCCTTGCTGATCCAGGACTACAGAGAATCAGACTCCAGATTCTACCTGTCAAGTGTCACCCTTCCAAGATCCACAACCAAGGTGACACCCAGAGGGGAGATGGAAGAGATTTCTAGATGACCCATGGAACATCCAGCCCTTATACCTGGGGCGTCTTAATTTGCTCCACTCAGGGGTGGTGGTCCAGCCTGGAAGATGGGGTATATTGTGTGATGCAAGTTTGGTTGAGGAATTGTCCTTTCTGAGACAAGTGCAGGGCAGGCCCTCAGATAAGAGTGGATCAAGGAAAATCAGGAGCTCCCATCTAGTTCAAAGCATGCCCCAGGATGCCCATCTTGGATCTGAGTCAGCGTGGCTTGAGGTCAGATTGACTCTAGGGATGATCTATGGATGTGTCTCCATAAAGGTTAATCTACCAGGCCCTAGATTGGCTCGGAAATATAGAGAGCCTCCACAGACCCAAATCCCCAAGTATGTTAAAATGCCCCAGCCTCCAACTGCTCCTCTACATTGGACCAAGAATGAATCCTCTGGCCAGACCAAACTCCCGAGACTGCCCTTGAATGAAGTGTGGGAACATGCTCACATTTTAGTTCAATGTTCACCATGTGGCTTTTTTTGGGAGAGCTTACTTAATACATGGCCAGTCGGAGAAGTCCTTTGAAAACATGGTTTGGCAAGGATGGTTCAGATAGTCTAGCAAGTGAGGCTCATTAAGAACAATCCTTCTAAAAATATAATGATCTCTATGAAAATCCTGTAAATTCTACAGCACCTCATCCCAAAGGAAGAAGGAAGAACTAATTTAAACTTGGGATGAAATGCATGAGTGTTTAAGGAATATGGTTAGAGGTTTGATTACCTAGATGGCAACACGTGCTTGAGAAGATACATTCAACTCAAGTGCTACCAACGGTCCATTCCTGGGCCTTATTTTAGGCACAATAAAGTCTGCAATCTGGGCTTTACTGTTACGTAGGAAAGCAATGATTGGCCGGCTCCGTGGCTTGGTGGTTAAGTGCGCGCGCTCTGATGCTGGCGGCCCGGGTTCGGATCCCGGGCACGCCCCAAGGCACCACTTCTCCATCCAACCCGAGGCCGAGTCCCACGTACAGCAACTAGAAGGATGTGAACCTATGACAT